ATGTTGCAACAAATTGCAATGTTATTAAAATTTAAGTTGCAACAGGTGATAAATAAGCATCATAATATTGTAATACTATCTTTACTAGTAATACTAATAAAGAAAGAAATAAAATAGTCTAATGCACAGTTTTTTATATTTTGCATTTTGAATTCTCTGACCTACGAATCAGTGAAAGTTACATGAATGACACAGTAAGATGTAATATAAAATTGGTAGCATTATTTCACAATTTTGGTCAGCACATAAATTAGTTAAGATCCTTGAATATAATAACTTAACATTCAAGCTAGTATACAAGTGGTCTGAAATTGACAAACTAATAGAATCTCTCTAGTTCACCACCAGTTCTTTAATAATTTTATGATAGTTCTATAACACTACTACAGTACTATTAAGTTACCATTATAGCACTGAGCTAAATCCTCAAATCATATACTCAAAAGATCAGCTAAAATTATGGATAGTGCCAGCTGAAATTAATTGCAGATCTACTGCATCATCTGACACAATATTTTTTTATCACAATTTAGTATTTTAACAGGCAATCAAATAAGCGCAAAAAGTAAACACCTTAATATAGAATCTAGCATCCAATCAAATGCAGGAGATTAGCATACTCATTATAGAACTAGGCATTCAAAGAAGACTGAAAAGCCAGAACTAACAATATAAATTTTATTATGTAAACGGATTAAGAATAAAAAGAAAACAGTTACTATTAAATCATAATATTACCATTAAATTAAAACACTATTAATTACTATTAAACTATGAAGTTATCACTATATTATATAGAAAACAGATAAGACAATACTATAAACGTAAAGGAGCTACCTATATATGAGTTATGAAGTCATTATTAGAGTATAAATAGTAGGTTATAAAGTTACCACTAAATCATAAAATTAGATTATGATATTACCGTTATATTATGAAGTTATAATTATATTATAAAATTACTAACAGACTATGAAGCTATCATTATATTATGAAGTCACTGGTAGATTATGAAGTTACCATTATATTATGAAATTATCAGTAGACTATGAAGTTGCTTTCATAACCTAGGCTAAGTCATATGTGATTTCATAATACAATCAGACCTGTATATTATCACACTGTATATAGTCACACCTTTATATAAGAACATATTTTTGTAGAACAGACTTAAAGTATATTAAATTACTTCTTTATAGTCACAAATCAATTATAGTCACTATCACATGAAATTCTTAACGTATATATCATTTCTATTAGAAAATCTACCTCTTTATAATCACAAGATTTTTGATTGATTTATATCAAAAAAATCTAATTGGTTGCATATATAATTTAAAAAAGTTTGATAAAATTGATAATCAATAATTTTATATAGATTTTAAATGTAATACGCTTAAAATGTAACACTTTAAAATATAACGCATAAATGTTATAATTTTTTCATTCTATAGAGAGTTTTTTTTTCATATCATATCAACATATTGAATAAAGAGAGTGATATTTAAAATGTCATGTTTTTGTGAGAAATTCTTTTTTATTTTTTAGTGAACATCTTCTACCATTCACATTCTCCTTTTTACTAAGTAGTATTTCCTCTCTATAATATCTATTAACTGTTTTAAAAAAAGCTGTTCAGCAATAAGTATTAGCTTTAAACACCAAATTTGTAAATGATCAAATAAAAATAAAAATAAGAAACAAGAGGAAATTACCTTCTATTTTAATGAATAAATCCAACTCTAAATATTAATCGTAATACTGTATCAAAGATATTAGCACAAAGTGAAAAATAAAATACTATATTAGAAATTAAAGGTTCTAAAGAAATTTACAGACAAAAAAGAATCAAATTTTCAGAACTTGACAGGGCTATGAATTTGTGGATAGAAAATGTAACAGTAGGCAGTGTAATCCTAACAGATGTATTAATAAAAGAAAAGATAAGATTTTTTGTCAATGCATTTTTTATACAAGAAGATGAGTTAGTATTTTCTAATGGTTGGTTAGAAAGCTTTAAAAAATGTAATAATATCTACTAGTATCAGATATATAGAGAATCTAAAAGTGCACCAATAGTATCTTTACTGAAAGAAAAAATTAAGCTTTGTTAGCTTTTGAGCTGATATACTTTTGATAGAATTTACAATATTGATAAGATAGGTCTTTATTATAGGATATTTCTAAATTAAACACTTTTGACTAAACCAGTTCATGGCGAGAAGAAGGATAAAATGCGAATTATAGTTCTTCTTAGTATAAACGTAATAGGAACTGATAAACTTAAACCATAGGTAATTAGTAATGCGAAACGTCCAAGACCTCTTTCAAAAATTAATCTAGAACAGTTTCTAGTTTATTATCATGGGAATTTAAAGGCATGAATGAACTCAACAATTTTTGAAGAAGTTCTTCGTGAATTGGATAGCTATTTTAAAGCAAAAAATAAAAAAATCTTACTTTGGTTGATAATGCACTATCACATTTTGATCCACATTATTTACCGACTGAGAAAAATGTAGATAATGATGAAGAGACTGAATCAATATCTGGTAAGTTTTGAAATTTAAATTCTTTTATCTTTTCATTCATTATATAAATTTTAATATAACTTACTATTAGAATTCATTATCAGAAATTTAATTAAAAAATTATAGTTTATTAATTGTCATATATATATTTTTTTGTTACATATTTTTTTTATTACATTATTTTTGTTACATTTTTTTTTGTTAAATATTTTTTTATTGTTATAAATAAAATTTATTTATTATTACATAATAGATATGATAATTAGCAAATATTTAAATAAAAATAACTTATCTAAATTTTTTTATATAGGAAATTAAGTTTCAAGAGGTCATGGTAATCATGAATCTAGAGGTTGTGGTAGAGGTTATGGTAGAGGTCATAGTGAAGGTTATAGTAGAGGTCATCATAATAGAAATCATAATGGTGAACTAAGTAATTGTAAATTTGAAAGTCATGAACGTAGTATTTTTCGACTTCAATTAACTCATATTGAAGTGACTTTTTTACCCCCTAATACTACAAGTCACCTTCAGCTACTCAATACTGGAATAATTGCAAGCTTTAAAAGTCATTATAAGAGGAATTTTTGCCATCATATATTAAACCTCTTTGAAGATAACAAAGATATTAACAAAGAAAAAATCAATATTAAAGAGGCAATTAATTATTTAGTAGATGCATGGTGACAAGTAACTGAAGAAACTATAAATAACTGTTGGAAAAAGACTGAAATCTTACCTTTCTTAACTGATGAGTATTAATAATACAACACAAATTCAACAAAATTCTACAGATCATGAAGCAGCAAATATTGATCAAATCATTGAAGAAATTGAAAAATTTAGTGACGATTCTTATAATGTTTTATTAAAAAATGCATTAAATAATTTCTTTCATGAATTAGAAAATATTCTAACTGAAGATACTCTAGACAATGATGATATTATACAATTAGTTCAAGAGGAAATATATGATGAAAATAATACTAATGACGATTCTGAAGAAGAACTATTGCTAGTATCTTCAAATAAAGCTTTAAAATCTTTATAAACTTGGATTGCATTTTTTGATCAGTAATAATTAGATGAATTTAGTATTGAAGATGGTCAAATTTTTAAAAAATACTTAAAGATAGTAAAGCGACTTGAACTTCATTCTTGAAAATAAGTTCCAATTACTAATTTTTTTAGCAGTTATGAATTCAATAATTGAATTATAAGTTTTAATAAATATAATAATAAAATTAATTATAACTGGAATAAATCATATAAAAAATAAAATTAAAGTTGTGTTCCTGATTTTCTAATGGAATTTCACAGTGATTTACAATATATTTTATTTGTGAAACCAATTTAACCTTTAAATAATCACTACATATTTTTTTTAATATATTTGTGACTATATAGAGGTAAACCTTTTACAATCACACCTTTATATAATCACTCATTTTTATAGAACCAATTATATGACTATATATAGGTCTGACTGTATAATTATATTATGAAGTTATATGTGACTGCATTTATGAATTTGTTTACCTTATCAGATTGAATAAATAAAAGTAAAACTCATTTTATTTTTATACATTTTGGTAAATATTTATGACCTAAGAAAATTTTAAGATGAATCTAACTTAATTATTTTGAATTATGAATTTTTGATAAGATCTCTATATGGAAATCATTTAAATAAGATTAATACAAATTTGATCAACCTTTATTATTTATTTTGACTGCATTATCATAATTTTTTATCAATTAGAAAGTTTAAAATTCAAATAGTTACAATATTACTATTATTTTTAAAGAATTGTGATATTATAAAAAAAAATAAAAGATGTTTTTTATGAAATTCTAAGTATATTTATTATAACACATAAGACATAATAAAATCTATAGTAAGAGAATCAGATATTGATATAAGTATTTGAAAAAGTTGAAGGCATTCCATAAAAAAGGCATTGTATTTTAAGATTAATAGTATATTATTGAGGCTGAATAAGAATTTTAATTTTGTTATCATCATCAATAGTTTTGAATATAAATTCTTTATATTAAAATCATTTCTATTAACCTATTTTATATTAATTAATTAAGTAATATTATATAATACTGAAATAAGTCTAATTCTTTACTCTGTATCCTTTTAATTATACAAAAATGATATACCTGTTAAAAAATAAAAATTATAAAAATAATAAAGAAACTAATCCAAAGAAATTATCTTTTTGTATTTATTACTTACTTTTAGTTTTGAAATAATTGTATTAATTTCATGTCATCTGTCACAATTCGTCTCTAACATCCCTAACTTCACTAACAATACAACATTGAGTCAGCCAGACTTAAGCAAAAGATAATTCTATGTGTAGGGATAGCTACTTATTATAGCTCTTTAGCTAATTCATCTAGTACATCATACTGCTCTTGCATCTTCACATAGAATTTACAATATTCATTATAGGTGAGTTAGTTGTCACTAAGCAGCATGAAAGCGGCAATAACTGTATCTGTCTTGCTGTGCCCATATCCGCAATACACAAGGGTTATTCTCTGAGCCAGAAAGTATAAATTATATGTTTGATGTAACTGATAAATTGTTGAAGCAGTGTAGTCTACAACCGGTAGGTGGAGGTAGTTAATGCTATGTTCCTTAAATCTCCCGATAATATTATCAGTTAGGCAGAATTGGTTCAGGCTGATAACATTGTTGATGCTATGGTCAATGAGGTACTGAATAGCATTATCATTCATATTCTGACTCTCATCATTACTGGCGTAGTGAGGCGTAGAGCTGCGCGTCAACCAGTTAGATATCATTCATTCGAAATGTCTGAATGCTGGGTCACACTATTTAGTAATATAAGTTTCATCAATAAACTGTCTAGCAATCAAAAGCTTAATACCCTAAGTAGCAAAAAATGAGCAGGGTATCTTACTGATGTAGCCATTTTGAGAAATTGTAGAGATTTTAAAAGATCAACTTTGTTGATTTTTGAGTTGATGTGAAAAGATATCAATTTTATAATCAGAAAATTTTTGCCGAAATAATAGGCTGTATAACTTAAAATTGTCACACAAAAAATTTTCTACTGCTTTACTTTTTATGGAAATAATTAGCTTTAAAACTGATAATCTTCATCCCTGAACTTAAAGTTTTTTCTTCAAGTATTTATGAAGTTTACTTTAATAAATAAAATTCACACATAACGTATAGCGCTGACATTAGTACCCCTTTGCAAAATATTCTTTTGAATTGTAACGGATACTATTCAATTACCAAAAATAAAATTTTTGATTAATACTGGGTACTAATAAATCAACCAATTAAATTGATTAACATGCTGATTAAATTTATCACAATGATATCGATCAATTTAATCTATTAAACATAAAAAACAAAATTTATTATTATATTTTATACTTTATCAATATTAAATATCATTATTTATTAAGTATACATGATTATTATTTAAATCTATTTATTATAATAATCTCCCTTCTCATAATGATTATCATTAATATCATTATTTTTATCATTTTTATTAATATCATCTAAAATTTCTACTTCATCATTTGATTTTGCTTGTTCAAAATATTCATAATTAAAAATCCAATCATCTGTTCTATCATGTTTATTAGAAATGCCATAGCATTTAAAAGATCTTTGGATTAAACTAATATCAATCACGTTTTATGATCTATTAATCCAATCTACAACAGTTTCATAAGATGGTCTTTTGATTCTACCAGAAAGGGTTAATTCTTTTAAAGATTTAGACATCCATTTATTATATTTATTTCTCATCTATAAGAAATAAATTTATAAATATAATTAAAATTAAATACAAAAATAAAATAAATAAATAAAAATAAATATTTAATAAAATTAATAAATCTTACTTTTGATTTAAATGATTTATTTGATTGAAACATCTAAAAGTTGTAATTGAAATATTAATCCTCCAGGAATAATAGTAATATTAGTATTTTTTTTTTCAAAACGCCTTTTAATAGAATTAATAATATGTGCTAAAAATGAATCTAAAACTAATAATGATTGTGGATTAGGAAGTCTTTCAGCATATTTAATCCAAACATTTTTAATCTAATATAACATTTCATTTTCATTCATCCATTCAGTTGGATTAGCATGAATAATAACTTTTTGTGAAAAATTTCCTTTTGGAATTTTTTTAAGTTTAAAAATTACAAGAGAAGAAAATTTTAGTTCCATCTGCTATACAAATTAAAACTACTATAAAATTAGTTTTTTCATAACCTGTTGTATAAATACTAATAGTTTTTACTCTATTTTATCAATAGTAGTATTATTTGGTAAATAAAATATTAATAGAGTTTCATCTATATTATCAATAAATGCTAAGGGATAATTATATTATATTCGCCTATATATAACAAATGCTAAAAATTCTTGTTATTTTTCATATAAATTATTTGATAAATGCTGAACGATAGTAATATGATGATGATTACTTAAGTTATTACAGCTCATTAAACCATTTAACTATTTATTACTAAAAGTAAAAGATTGTATATTAGAACAGGAAGCTTGCCATTGTAGTTGTTATGCTAAAGTTTTTGCTTTTACTTGAATCATATTTTGAGAAACTGCTTACTGATTACGTCTTTTTTTCTTTATAAAGCTATCTTTAAAGCTAGATATTTTAAAGGTTTTTCTTTATTTAAACATTTTAAACTAGGTTGTGCTTTCATAAATTATTCTTTTTTAGATACCCAATCGCAAACTTGTTTGGTTTTAATATTAAATTTAGCTGCTGTTCCATTTTTAATATATCCCTTTTCATGATACATAATAACACCAAGTTTTTCTCTTATATTCTATACTCTTTATAAATTTTCTAATATTCTTATACAGTTAGTATTTTTATTACGCATAAACTCATGTTACTTATGATAAAGTAATAAAGAAATTGCAAATTTATATTGTGATAGTAAGGACAAAAAAAACTAAAAAAAAAATTAAATTCAAAAAAAAATCAAATTAAATAAATAAAATTCTAATTGTATTATCTATAAAATTTGTATTATTCATATTATATAATATAGTATAATTTTATTTCAAGAAATGTTAAAAATTTAAAAATTTTAAAATAAAAAATAATTGATGATTATGATTAATATTCCTTTTTATTGTATTCTCATTGTGTAATATCCCTATATGTAGTACCTTTTTCTAAATGTAATAATCTGGGTACTATTCAAAATTAAGCTTAGATTTGTTTGAATAGTATCTGATACTAATGTCAACGCTATATGGTAATTTATAATTACATGATAATTCTTATTGAATGTTATGTTATAACTCAAATCATAATTATTATTTTTAGTTAGTTTTATAATTTTATAAATTTTATAAAATAGAAATTTTATATAGATTAATGTATAAAAAAAAATTAACTCTGATCATATGCATTTAAAGAGGTCTAACTCTATATTTTTTTTAAATACATGCTTTCTAAATACATCTATATTTTGACTTTGAGATGTATTTAAGAAAGTTTATAGTTTTAATTTGATAATTGAAATTTAATCTTTTTTATAAAACATAAGTTTTGTAAAAAAAGAATAAATTAGTTTATTTTTTGTAATATTAATTTATATATTTTTTATTTATTTTTAGAAGATATTAGAATATAAATTAAAGATTATAAGAATTTGTTTAAATAATTTCATAAAGTCTTTGATACTTTTGAATCATTTCTTAATTTGTTTTGAAGGCTAATGAGTCAAAATATAATATTTTTATATTATCTCAAGTTAAATATCTGCTAAGTAAAATATAAGCATAACTGAAAGTAAATGATAAAATCTAACTTAAGAAAGACTTTTGGTAGAATTAGTCTTATATTTTATAAACAGTAATGATAAAAATTTTTTTAAAAAAAATTAACTCTATTATTTAAGTTACTTGGTAGATTTTAAATTATTGAATTCAAAACAAAATTTTAGAATAATCAAATTAATCAAATTCAGAGGAGAACAAGTTCTGTATACATTAAAAATTATTTTCATATAGTTAGAAGTAATATGTTTATTTATAAATATTTATATTAACTATAGAAGCTTTAATAAAAATAAACACTCAAATAAATTGATTTTTAAGGTTAAAGTCAATAATAATTTTTATTGTACTATTACATATATCTTATTTAATTAAAAAATTATTAAAAAATATAATATATATATCTGATTATAATTTGATAAAAGTAGGTAAATTTGCTTTAGTTTTAAATATAGGTTAAGAATATAATAAATTTTTTATTTTAAAAAATTAATGAAATAGATAGCTTAAGAGATTAGAAATTTTTATTAGAAATTGGTAGTATATTATAGAATATTCTATTGATTTATAAAGCTATTTCTTTAAATCTGATAATATTATTAGTATTAAAAAAAAGTATTAATTAGTTATTTGTTAAGAATTCTAAATATCTTTATTGAAGAATTTGTTAGATTTAAAAAAATATATATATATTATTTGAATCTTTTATATTATTTAATAAATAGCATTTAACAATAAAAAGTCTTTAGAAATAGAAGGTAAAAAAATTTTCAAATAGTTGTATAGAATAGAGTTTCACCAGTAATAGAAGGTAATTGTGTAAGATCACCTATAAATATAATATTTATCTATTAAAAGAAATAGTATTATTATAAATATTTACAAAGATATCAAATATAAAATCAAAAATTTATTAAATACTATTAATATTTCATTTATGATTAAGATATTAATCTTTTTAAGTAGTTATTTAAATTTTTATCTATATAAATTCAGATACAAAAAGATCTGTAAATAGGTATAATATGTAAGATAGAGTAAATAATTTTTTCTTCTATTTTATGAATAATGATACTGATAAATGTTAATATTAAGTAATCAGAATTTTTTAGTTAATTATATAGAACTTTTTAATTTCTATAGAGCTGATAATAAAAATAAGACTATTTGATGTTATTATTTTGATTTATATAAGTCAAGATAGTTAATAAAATATAATATTAATTTTGAGACAATTTAAGTATTGTAGTTTAAGAAATATATAAGAAGGATTTAATATTATATAATTGTAATCATATGATTTCTTAAATGTTTGAAGGAATTTAATGTAAATTTTTAAAAATAGTAAAATTATATCAAAACCTTAATAAACAAATTTAAAATAACAGTCAGTGATCATTTCAGATCACTTGCTGATCACTAATTAAAATTTTGTGTAATGTTAAAAATCATGAATTAACAGTCTAAAGGCAGTGACATTTATTACGTAATATTAATTTAATATAAAGCTTGACCCCTCACCCCCACATAAGATAACTAAGGTAAGTCATATGATAATAATCATTAGACTTTTTATTTATAATAATACAATAGGTAAAAAAATCTGTATTCTGAAACCAAGCTATTTAACAGAGGCTTTTTTTCTGTTTTAATATGAAAAGAGTGACAGAACTTTACTGTTTTAATATAAATTAACTGCAGGGGTAAGTTATTTAACAGAGGCTTTTTTTCTATTTTGATATGAAAAGATTAGCGGAACTTTGCTGTTTTAATATAAATTAACTGTGGGATTTGCATTTTGATACGAAAGCCTTTTTAATAAATTTAGCTGCAGTGGCTTTTCTGTTTTAATATAAATTAACTGCAGGAAGGCTTGTATTTTAATATAATTAGCTATGAAAGTTTATAAAAGAGAATTTAATATATTGATATTTTACGCTTTTATAATAAAAAATAAGTTTTATTCTCAAAAAAACACGTCTACTTTTATTTTGAAAAATGAGTCGTTAAACCTACTTTATTGATCCTAAATTTAATAAAAAATCAATTTATAATTCACCAGATAATAAGTATCAGGAATTCACTAATGCTTATGTATATAGTACTATGGTAAAAATGAGAAATAGTACTTCAAATTGTGCTATTGTTTGCTATGAAGTAGCAATAGAATAGAAAAGCATTAAAAGTAAAAGTGTTATAGAAATTGATAATATAATTAGAGAATACATCACTACTCCAATTCACCCATATAACATACCAACAATAAGAGTAAATCATCCTAAACCTATACTAGAAACAGTTTCCTCCTTTCTTAT